ACTTTCCAAGCCTGTTGAAACATTGCCAAGAAAATAATTCTGATATTGACATTTGCTATTTCAAAACAACACTTTTAAATATGAGGGAAGCTTTTCTCAACAGGTTTCAGGTACTCAGAAACAGCAAAATGATGTTAGCCTTTGTTAGAAAACCTCTCAATGCTACTGTAACAATTAAATTTTTCTCCCTTTAATATTGACATTGGCAACTTTGAAATGTACCTTAATTAGTCTTGCTAGAATTAAAAACTTATCAATTCTCTATCACTTGTATCTTTTCTGTTTTTTATTATTTTTTTCCTCTTTGTGATATAATTTGCTCTTCTTTTTCCAACTTCTTAAGAGAAAACAACATTAATGTTTAACCTTCTTTTCTACTGGAAAATATTTAAAGCTATATATTTCCTTCTAAGCACTGCTTTTTCTTAGCACCTTCTAAGCATCTTCTCAGTGCAGAGATTATACTATCATATTTGGTATATTGTATTTTTGTTTTCCATCAGTTCAGAATAATTTCTAATTTTCCTTATGGTATTGTTCTTTGACTCATGGCTTATTTAGAAGTGTGTGTGTTTAATTTCCATATATTTGGTACTTTTCTAGGTCTATTATTTTTACTGATACCTAATTTCATTTATGTTAGAGAACATACTTTGTAAAATTTTAATCTTGGTAGTTAATTGACACTTATTTTTTAGGCCAAGATATACCTTCCCTTGATGAATGTTCCATGTATACTTGAAAATAATGTTGGGTGTAATCTATATATATAAAGAAGTAATATGCTAATTGGTCCTAAGGGTATCCCAGTCACGACTGTTAAACAAGATGCGTGAGCACAGGTGCTGGTGGGCGGGGACTTGCGACAGCAGGCCCTGAGGCTGCCGCCAGGGGCAGCCCCCCCACGAAGGCACGCCCCGACCCACGGTCCGCCCAGCCTAGCAAGGGGGCGTCAGGACGGGGGCGGGGCCTCAGTGGAGAGCTCTCAGCACTCCTGCGCTGGGGTCTGAAAGCACGGAGAGGAAGGGAGAGCAGATGGGCAGTTAGGGGGATTAGGCCAGGAGGGGAGAGCAGTTAGGGGCATCAGTTAGGCAGGCAGGTGAGCGCTTAGGGCCTAGTGGTTCTGGATTACGAGAGGGATCCCAAATTGGAGAGTGTGCAGGCCAGGATGAGGGACCCTCTCCCCCGCATGCACAAATTTCGTGCACCGGGCCTCTAGTGTTCTATAAATGTCACTTCTGTGTTAATTGTGTCAAGGTGATTGATATTGGTGAATAATGGTTCTGAAAAGATGCCCTTGACTGATCCTCAGAATCTGTGAATATCTTACTTTATATGGTAGAAGGATCTTATTTTATATGGTGAGATTATCTGGAGGGCTCAGTATTCAGAGTGTCCTTATAAAAAAGTCAAGAAGGTCACAGCAGAAAAGAGATGGGAAAGTGGAAGCAGAGGTTGGAATGATCGCACTGAAAATGGAGGAAGGGGGGTATGAGCCAAGGAATGCTGACAATTTCTGCAACCTGGGAAAAAGAAAACAGATTGTCCCCTAAAGTTTCCAGAAGGGATGCAGCCCTACAAACAACTTGATCTTTGCTTAGTGAAACTGATTTCAAATTTCTGTCCTCCAGAACTGTGATGGAATAAATTGTTGTTGTTTTAGACTACCCAGTGTGGTAATTTGTTATATAGTAGCCTCAGTAAACTAATACAGAATGTGCTACCAGAGCATGTGGGATGCTGCTCTAACAAATAGCTGAAAATGTGGAAGTTGATTTAGAATGCGATACTGGATAAAAAGCTTGAATAATATTGAGGAATATGATTTTTTGAACACACACTCAGTAGAAATGTAGATGTTAAAGATTGCAAGGGGAGCTCATAAAGGAAATGAGCACCTTAGAGAAAACCTATATATAGTCATAGAGAATATCTAAGTCTTTATGAAAAGACTTGGGAAGAAATATGGATATTTAAAAGCACAGTTGGTGAGGATTCTAAAGGAAAGGAGGACAGTGGAATCTTGCTACATAGTGGCAGGAAGCTTAGCTGAATTGTATGTCCTACAGTGATTGGAAAACAGAACTTGTAAGTGATGAACTTGGATTTTTATTAGGCTAACAAGATTTTTTTAGCAACGTGTGGAAGGTTTGGCTTGGTTTCTTGTTTTTATAGTAAAACTAGAGGCCTGGTGCATGAAATTTGTGCACGGGAGAGGGGAGCCTCCCCTCAGCCCAGCCTGCACCCTCTCCAATCCAGGACCCCTTGGGGGATGTCTGACTCCTCGGGATTGGGCGTAAACCAGTAGACATCCCTCTCACAATCCGGGACCACTGGCTCCTAACAGCTAACATGCCAGCCTGCCTGATCACCCCTAATTGCCCCCCATGCTGGCCTGTCACCCTCAACTGCCCCCCTGCTGGCCTAGTCACCCCCAACTTCCCCACCCCGCCAGCCTGGTTGCCCCTAACTTCCCCCCACACCCGCCGGCCTGGTCGCCCTTCACTGACCCCCCTGTTGGCCTGGTCGCAGCCTGCTGCTTGGTCGTTTGGGTGCCCCTCAATGACCACCCTGCCATCCTGGTCGCCCCACGCAGCCTGCTGCTCAGTCGTTTGGGCGCCCCTCTCTGACCCCCCTGCCGGCCTGGTCACCCCACGCAGCCTGTTCGGTCTTCTGTTTGGTTGTGATGGTCGCTTAGGCTTTTATATATATAGATGTGAGAGGGAAGAGATACATTGAAGAAGGAACTGTTCAGAAAAAAGAAACCAGGCGGACTTAATTTGGAAAATTCTGAGCCTATCCAGATTGTAAAAGACCCTAAACTTAGGAGGTTTTCTACCAGAAAGCATGGTCTGGAGAGAAAGCCAATGATGTATCAGAACAGGCCTTTGGTGTAGTGCCTTGGAAAGATTAAAATGTCAGAGTATTCAGTCACGCAGAGAGCTCTTTAAAGAGAGTAGGCATTTAACTCTTTCAGCAGGCAGTTAACCTTATTTAGATTTAGTGTGTAGGTCCTGGATTCTGTGTGAGTTATAGTTCAATGACAGTTTTCTTTGCAAAATCCTTGCAATGCTCTTCTGGTTGGATTTATTTTTCTGCCTCCACTGGATCTTCTGTTCAATACCTGCAGGTGCTGCCTGGACTCCTCAGTGATCTTGAGTGGGAAGTTCCAGAAATGGTGACCTGTGGTCATTGCCACTGCAGTAGATTGGGCCTGAAGCTGCTCCAGATGTGGAGCAGGGGCACTGCTGATTCTTCGGTAGTCTAGCCCCACTGACACTGCAGTGGATTTGGCCCACTGCTCTTCCAGGTGTGGAGTGCTGGGGATTGGTTCCTGGCTGGCTTTTGCTAACATTGCTACTGCAGCCACTGAGGGTCACTCCTACCCCAGGTGTCAGGTAGGGACACAGCTGACACTGTTGCTGCAATGGTTCTGGCTGATTCTGTAGGTATGGAGTGGGAGACTAGCCAACCTTGCTGTAGGTTTGGGGAGAGGGACAGGTCCCTGGCTTTTCTGGCACCCAGTGCAGAATATATCTATACTAATAATCTATACTAGCAAAAGGGTAATATGCTAATTAGACCAGATAGACTGGACATCCTTCCTGACAAAGCTGGGGCCTTGGCAAAGCCGCCCATGGTCCTGGGTGCCTGCGGCCGGCCAGGGCAAAGCTGGCCCGGGTCCCGGGTGCCTGCAGCTGGCCAGAGGGATGGAAGCCGGCCCGGATCCTGGGTCCCTGCGGCCAGCCGAAGGAGGGAAGCCCGGGTCCTGGTTGCCTGCCGGCAGCCAGAGGAGAGATGCTTGGGTCCCGGGTGCCAGGGGAAAGCAGGTCCTGGTAGCCGGGGGAAGGAAGGCCTACTCTTACACGAATATTCGTGCATCGGGCCTCTAATAGATAATAAAAAGAAAAATCAGGGAACTCATTGTGGTGTTAATCCTCAATCTTGAGGTCCCCAAGCAATCTGCCCTCTTCTTTCCACCTTTTAGGGTCATTTTATGATTATCTCTTAAAATACTTCCAAGGCATTTAATTGTACAGGGAAGAGAAAAGTGAGTCTGTGCCACCTTGTCCTGGAATTTAAAGGATACCAATATTTTTCTGCTATTTTCTAATGTTTGAACCTATTTCTACATATAAAATCTGTACATGTAATATAACATTTCAGAATTCTTTCTTTTTTGTGTACCTGTATTTTTGTTCATGCTATCCATCAGTAAGCCCATTAGTTATGCAATTTATCCTTTTGTATTGATTAATATACAGTGGGGCCTTGACTTACGAGTGTCCCGACTAACGGGTTTTTCGAGATACGAGCCGTCTCTCGGCCGATTATTTGCTTTGAGTTGCGAGCTAAAATTCGGGTTACGAGCCAGCTTCAGATACCCCACCGCTAGTTGGCACAGCGAACGTCACAGTGAACGCCACAACATCAGCTCAGCATCACATGTCTCACTCGTTCACTTTAAGATTTGACATACAAGTAATTTGAGTTATGAGCTCCGTCACGGAACGAATTAAACTCATAAGTCAAGGCCCCAGTGTATACAGATACTTTAAATACTGAAAATTCTCAACCAAATCATGGGCAAGGTTACAGTTCCAAGTTTAAAACAGAACCCAGTGACTAGAAGAGCAAGTTGAAATTTAATCAGTGCTCCTGACTAAATAGTGAAGTATATTTAGCATGTTTTAAAAATTCTTATTGATACACCGTTAAAAATCGCTGACATAGATGTTTGTTTTTCCTTCCTTCCATTTAAGCTGGGAAGTTAAGTTGTACTATCATTATTTTTATTTCTTTGAAGTATTTTTTAAAATTCCTTTTTACAAAAACAGCAGTCATTATCATTAGCTATTGAAATACATATAATTTAATATATGTTTTGCCATCTGTATGCGAGGCTATTTTGAGAACAGTTTCTAAGTTAAATTTTACCTGTCATCAGTTTTATGTGGAAGAAGACAATTCCTAACCCTCCCCTCATCTGCCTTTCCCTTTCCCAATTAACAGGTTGCAAATTCAGAGACTCTGAATTTGGATAAGAACCCAGTTAATACTCTAGATGAAAGAAAGGCTCCTGTGAACTCTGGACCTTCCAACCCTTCAGAAAAAGCAATTGAAAAGATCGATTTGTCACAGGATCATGATGAGGCTGTTTCTGAAAGGTAGGCATTTCCACATAAATGCATAAACTTACTTATCTAAGTATATGTTTGTAAACATGTACCCTTTTGTCAGTTAAGCATAAAATAGCTTAAAGCTTCATATTTTATATAAAAATTTTTTTATTATGAAGGAATTGAATTGGTTCTCCAAAGTTTTTATTGTTGTTTTATACTAAGTAAAACTTTCAACTGGTTAGGTGTCAGGTTTTATTGTGATGCTTTCTATGTTTCCTATGGTGACTGGATGGTCAACTGGAGCACTTAAGTAGTTTCCAATGCTATACTTGAAAAAGACAAGGCCTTATGAAACAGTGGTTTAAAAAGAATTAAACAGAGGATTAAAACTAGGGAAAAGTGCCTAAAATTAAACATGTTGAAAGTGTTATGATAACTTCAAATTAGAGTGAATAGGTGAAATTACTTGCATAATTGAGTCAGAGGAGATGAGACACCTTATCTTCAACCTAGTCTAAAAGATTTGGGCTCAGAGAGAAGTACTTTAGTTTAACAAAGAAACATGATTAGTGATTCTGGCCTGGATTTTCAAACGGGTAGGAGTGCATTTTAATGAATTATTTTCTCTTCACTAGTGATTCTTAACTGTTTGGATCTTTATAATATTACTTGTTTATACTTGACATTTATTCCTTAAAATGTCCTAAGGTTTTGTTTTTATATGTTAAATTATACCTCAGCTTTTAAAAAGAGGAAGCTATATAACCAAATTAAATGATGGCTTTTGTTTGAAGAACACACCCTTTGCTCCAAATAACTATTCATACAGTATTGATCTATACTATTAGAAGTAAATTCTTGATGTTTGGCAATAAACATGCAGATTTGACTCTTTGGAGGGGAAAACTAATATTCCCCATGATGTTGAGGCCCACATTTTAGTTTAAAGCCAGGAAGCTGCTGTGAAAAAGGCACTTATTTGTTAGTGAAGGCAGGAGTCACATTTCAGTGAGTCTTTGTGGTTTCCATTTGTTGACACATGTTAAACCTCATAAAGTGACAAAAAAGAAAAATGCTGATAAGTGAAAAAAATGAAGACAAGACACCATTAAAAAATAGCATTTATTGACTAATATGTCAAATTTATCAATGGATTATATCTATCATATGAAAAATACACCTTAGCTCTACCATAATGAGTAAAGAACCTACAGTTTATGAAACTGTTTTAGGCAGCATTCTCAGCTCTTGGAAAGTGTGAGAATAGGTGACACAAATGTGTAACTTGACCCTGATGGATGAGTTCAGGGTTGAGTTTTATAACACACTAGAGGCCCAGTGCATGAAATTCATGCACGGGCCGGGGGCGGGGGGACCCCTCAGACCAGCCTGCAACCTCTCCAATCCAGGACCCTTCGGGAGATGTCCAAATGCTGGTTTAGGCCCAATCCCCGGGATCGGGCCTAAACCGGCAGTCAGACATCCCTCTCACAATCCTGGACTGCTGGACTGCTCACCTGTCTGCCTGACTGGTTGCTCCTACCTGCCCCCCTGCCCGCCTTGTCACCC